TTTCCATGGTACCTTTTCTGAATTGGTAATTTTAGATCAAATGAAGGAAAGCTTCTCTCTGCAAAACAGAACCACCCAAAATTTTTAAAAATAAAGTAACTCAAGCCTGTAATCCCAGCTACTTGGGAGGCTGAGGCAGGAGAATTGCTTGAACCCAGAAGGCGGAGGTTGTGGTGAGCCGAGATCATGCCATTGCACTCCAGCCTGGGCAACAACAGTGAAACTGCATCTCAAAAAAAAAAAAAAAAGAAAGAAAGGAGCATCCAGATGTAACATGATAGGGATGAGCAACAGGGCAGAGTCTACCAGGGGTCTCTGCAGAAGGATGGAATGCTCAAATGCTCTTCAAGGTTCCATCCTTTGCTGCTCACCTTCCTCATTCTGTACCCTTTCCTTGTTGAATGCATCCACTCCCTGGTATAGCAGAGACTCAGAGTGGCCTCCAAATATTCACTGTTCTCCCATATTTTCTTTGTACACCAGTCTGTAATTTTTCATTAAAATCAGCTAAAAGATGTTGCACCTTTCAAGTGTATGAGTGAGCTTAACAGTGTTTAACCATGGCTTTATTAAGTAAATGCTCGAGTCGTCAATATTCAGTTCAACTTACTTCACACTGATGCTTGCAAATGCATTATCATCAATTCTTACGTATTTCACATCAACCAACTTGAAGTGCAGAAGGCCTGCACTCGAGTAACTCCTCCGGATGACAAAGAAGCCTATCACTTGAGTTCAAGTCTCTAACCAACAACGACTATATCAACACTGGTGAACTCATATGAGGGAATTCAAGGTTGGAAGGCACAGGCCGTTTCCTGATTCTGCCAAAAGCATCATAGCATGACCTATGGCAAGGGCAGTAATAACCACCAGAACCTCCTGCAATTGCAATGAGTACATAACCAAGATGAATGCAAACACCTACCAGGATAACCTACTGGGGTTTCTTTACTTGTTCTAAATCATGCTGAGGATCCCTCAAATGGGGCCCTTCGACTGCAGCTTTCTAGTCGGTTTCCTTCTTGGTTCTATAGCCCACAAACAGGAGTTTGCCTCTTCATCTGAAAGCCATATTCTTGCCTTCTGGAATATCAGATAACCTGAATTTGATTTCGACATGGCCAACACATCAGCAGAAGCCCTCGTGCTGGGAACAAACTGGGGGAAGACACTGTCGGCAGCATGTGCGACAGTAGCTATTGCAGTTACCAAATAAGAGAAACATTTTCTAGCCTTGCTGCTTTCCTTTGAAGACTCTGTACTAACTGAAACTTCAGTGAGATGCTAACCAGAAAAGGCCGGCACTTTGATGTCTGTAAGGGAACAAGGAACAGAAGAAGCAGGAACATTGAGGCCCACGTCCTGGCCACTCAGCGGCTCCCGGCACAGATAGGGCTGTTTCATACCCAGCACAGGTAGCTCCGAGGCAGCAGGCCCCAAGGCCCGCACCAGGGGCTGCAGTGCACCTGCCACCTCATGGCGTGTGGCCAACAGGATGATGCTAATCTACATTTGTAACAGAACTCCAACTAGCTGCACACGTATCTGTCTAGTTAAATTACTACATTACCCAGGATCCTGTGGCTGGATTATGTTCTAGCCAATGAGAAATAAGCAAAAGTGTGGTGCTTCCAAAAGGTTTCTTTTGAAAGGAAGGTCACTTTTCTGCTCCAAATTGCAACCCATAACAACAAACAAAGATATGAATGTTAGAACTTTGGCAGCAGATTTTGACCTAAAGGTAGCTGAGAAGTGAGCTAGCATGAGACAAAATTGTTGTAGAGTTATCATTCTCTCTTTGAATTCTCTACCTCCAAAATTCTTTTAGGTGAGAGAGAAATGCATTTTTTTGTCTTCATTAAATCACTGTTACATGCTGTAGTATATGTAGTAAAACTGAATCCTAACTCATAAGCATGGCTTTAGGAGGCAACACCGAAATCAATACACCAAACGCCGCTTTCTCCCCAAAGATTATGACCTGAATATCCAGCCTACCTTCTGGATAGCTTTATCAGAATATATCAACACTCTCCCCACCGCCACTCCACACACACACAAAACTTAGCAATAATAAAACACAACTCGAATTTCCTCCAAAATATGCTCTTTATGCTGTATTTCCTAGCTCAGTTTGAAGAAAGATTCAATCGTTTATTTGCTGAGTAATATAACTGGGGAATCGTTTTTCTTCCCATTCCTTCATCACCTGCCAATAACCTCCTCTGGCAAGATGTCTAGGATCTCCCTACCAGCAGTTATCACATATTGCTCTCCTTCCCATTGTCACCATTCTGGTTTTGACCCTTACCAAACCTTGCCTGACTGTAATAAGAGCCTCTTAACTGGTGTGCCTGCCTCTAGTTTCAACTCTATTAACTGCCTCCTACAATCCTATATGAAAATCTAATAGCATCATTTCCTGGATTAAAATCTTTTCACTGGGCGTGGTGGCTCACACCTGTAATCCCAGCACTTTGGGAGGCCGAGGCGGGTGGATCCCAAGGTCAAGAGATCGAGACCATCCTGGTCAACATGGTGAAACCCCGTCTCTACTAAAAATAGAAAAAATTAGCTGGGCATGGTGGCACGTGCCTGTAATCCCAGCTACTCAGGAGGCTGAGGCAGGAGAATTGCCCGAACCCAGGAGGCGGAGGTTGCGGTGAGCCGAGATCACGCCATTGAACTCCAGCCTGGGTAAGAAGAGTGAAACTCCGTCTCAAAAAAAAAAAATCTTTTCACGGCTCCCATTAAGGATGGAAAAAGTCAGTTTCCTTGGCATAATATTCAGCGCCCTGAAGGATCCAGCCAGCACTGAGACCCCTAAAGCAAACCCTAATATACCTCGCTTTCCTGTCTCCTCCCATTGCCCACTAATGCAATACTCAGTCTCTGGAAAGCCAGGCTCTTCCAGTCCCTAGTAGCTTTGTCATAACATTCCCTTCATCTGGAATGAATTTTTCCCTACTTACATGTGCAGATAATTCACCAAAATATCCAGCTCAGGTGACAACACTGCTGAGAAGCAATGGGAATCACTGACGTTGCCTAATAAAATTCATATATACTTTTAAAGGTGTACCTTGAAAGTTGCATGCCAATTGTTGATTTGAACACTTGACTCCCATGATAAACTTCCTGAAGTTGTAAAAATGAGGAGTATAGCTTTTCATCTTGGTAGTCGCACCTGAAAAATAATAGGTGTTTATTACAAAGGTAATAGTAATAATAGCCAACTCTAATTGAGAATATCCTATACACTGACACTGCTGTAAGTACTTTACTTGTCTCTCAATTAATCACCAATGAGCAAGCACTATTACTATTTTACATGTAAAAACAAACAAAGGTACAAACACATAAAGTAACATACACAGCTAGAGGGTCAGGCTTTGAATCTAGGAAGCCAGCTTCATATCTGTGCATTTAACCTTGGAATGGCTACATTAGGATGTTCCCAAATAAGCATCTTTGCTTTCTTCTCATCTTTCTCAAATTGTCCAAGGCCTTATGAGGTTCAAAAACATGCTAAATTTATAAGTAGAGAGTGGAGGTCAAAGAAATGTATTCATATTTGCTGGGAAAAAAAATGGATTGCCCAACACAGAGATTTCCAAACAAAAAGATGATCAGAACTCCCTGGGGAACTTTGTAGAATACACATCCCCAGTCCCAACCAAGATCTAGTACATCAGCATCTCAGAAGTTAAAGGAAAATTGGTTTAAATATAAGATTTCTGGGAATTTTAAACAATGTGTTGCTATTTAGACTCAAGTCCAGAAATACATTTACTATGTCTCCAAAATTCCCCAAACCTGTAAGTCTAATCTATTAAGATGTGAAATTAGCTACCTTGGCATGGATCATTCTCAGGGAACCCATGCTGTCTCCTCATGACCTTTCCTCTACAAACTGTCCCTTTCTTAACCTACTAAGAGGGTTGCAGGGTTATCAGTGTGCAGTTGTGCAGCTTTAAAAGACAGTTTGTCTCTTTTATGATAATTGAGGCAACATTTTCCATTCAACAGTATTTCCTTTCTCCATATATTGTTAAAATATTTCTGGCAATAATTCTCTGAGTCACTTCTGTATCTTAGGGTGCATAGATCTAAATCCAGTGTATGGAACTCATTTCAAAGAACTGGGCATGTTCTTCCTCTTAGCCATGTTGTCCTGTCCTTTCAAAATGATAGAGAATTTAATAACGTCATTCTTTAAAATATCATTTTATGTTCATATGACTCCATATTAATTTAAAACATGTTTTTAGTATTAACTATTTCATTCATATTTTATTTTAAATACATTTCTTCATGTCAATTTACGGAAGAACCAGCAATTCAGACAAAAGCACTATCAGGAAGGAAGGAGCGCATATATCACATGAGATGTGAAGAGATAGAGGTACAGCTTAAATGCTTGACTTCCTTTAGCCTGTATGATACAAGTTTAATTGCATTTTGTTAGCTTTAAAAAAAAACACTGTTTCATGAACAAAGTGAGATTAGTGCCAGAATTAGAACACGGATCTCCTGATTCTTAAGTGATACCCTCCTCCCCCTATCATCTAAGTGGTTTTCAATGCTGTATAATGCACATATAACACAAGTTTGAGCATTTTGTGAGTTAGAAAGATTGTGTCTGACAACGAAGGTTCAAAGGCAGAAAATATCCTTTACAAAATAGAGTGACTCTAGACAGGTCCCTATTCTCCCCCAAAACCTAGTTCCTCATCTTAAATTTGCCCACATTGCATATTCCAACTATTTGTGTTGAATCAAATGAGTTAATACATATAGAGCTTAACACAGTGCCTGGGGATATTATTATTAGTCAGATGATATCCCTTAACATGAATAATAGAATAGTAATGACAGAAATAATTCTTGGCATAATTGTCTGGCCTAAAACAAGAGAACTTGCTCTGTTTTCTGAAATCTTCCTTCTCATCTTTCTCAAATTTAATTGCTATATTTATTTTCATTTACTTCTTTTAAACTATGGAATGCATTTGATAAATTTCCATGTCATTCCTGTGCAAGGACCATACTAATCTTCTCTGCATCCAATTTTAGTACATGTGCTGCCAATGCCGGCACTAATTGACATATTTAAATATGTCTATTTTTTATATCTCACAGAATTTTATGAAACAGTATAGTATTTGGCATGTTGAACTAATCAAAAGCAGGGTGCTTAAGAACTTAACTCAAATTGACATTAACATTGCCACTTTCATAGGGGTGGTGTAAAAAGTTACGATGTTACTAATGACTCTGCTGGATTCGCATCAGTGCTAATAATGCTTGAACCTCAGCAGTTATCAGTGCGATTTAAAAATGCTTTCAACATTTCCTCACAAACCACACCTCCTCCTAAGTAATTCCTCTTGATCATTCCAAAGCAGGTCTTTAACTTGCTGACTTCATCGGCACATCAGACTGAACAGAACAAATAAGGAGAGGAACTTTGACCCTTTCGCAGGCACATATCAGAATGCAGAGCTTCCATGTCTCTAAAGAGGAACAAGGGATTTACTTATAAAAAATAATTCCCAAGCCCTTTGATAGGAGACAGGGCATTGGGTCTCCAGTTACTACAGAGCAAATTAAGCTTTATTTTATTTAACTCTTATTAAACTCATCACTTAATGTTTTAAAGTAAATAGAGTGGGTGCTATATAATATGGTTGCACTGGGCCAACAGCAAATGAAGGGTGTCCCACACAAATAGTGATGGAGTCATCACTTTTTTAAAAATTAAAAATCAAGACATGAAACAGTGTAGTGCTGAATTTTTGTAATTAACTGTGATAAAAGTCTAACAATCATACATTTCTCTGCAGTAAATTTTAATCTCCCTTAAAAATTTCATATCTTGTCCATGGTGACAGATCAGAGGAAAAGTTCGAGGGTTTATATAACACATTAAATATAAAAGTTATCTATCCTCAAATAAAACTACCTTTTGATTCAAAAGAATTTAACAACAACCCTTCAAATATGATCGATCACTAAATCCATCAAAGATACAGTACAAGACAAAATTTTTATCACTACCTAGTAAAATCTGTCTAAAGAAACTCAAGTGAAAAGAAGGCATGATTAAAGTATTTCAGTTTCTTTGGGGTATGTAAATGTAGGTCAGTATGTTTCAGTGGTCAAAAAGAGGTTAATGCCAGCTCTAGACTTACTCAAAAGGTCCATTTGAGATTATAATAATTTTGATAGCATGGTAATAATTTCCGGACATTCCCCCAGCTCGCCACTTTACCAAACCTTGAGAAAGCCTTCTGATTCTTCCCATATATACCACTTTTACAAAGGAGCAGAGGCTTTGAAAGAAAAACATTTTTGGCTCTGTTAATGCTAGTGTATTCTTCCAGCCCAGTATTCAGTGTTCAGGACTGGACAGGCAATTACATGCAAATTTGTTGGGAGCTAGGAGGTTCATTTACTACATTCAACCCCATAGAGGAAGATCAATAGAAGTGCAAAACTTAATCCTAGATGAAAGCACCATGTTCAGGTAATGGTTATAGAGTTAAGGCCCTCAGAAGAATGTTGGGAATCAAAAGGGCATGCTAGAGAAAGGCATTATGCACAGTGCTTTTTTGAACCATATGGGAAAGACAACAGACAAAGTGAACCAAAGAGTTGGAACACAAGAAGGTAGACATGCAGTTCAACACAAATTGTTAGGGTTTTTCAAAAGATATGAATGAGGATTGGACCAATTAAAAATGGCTGCCTCGAAAACCTTTTGTTGGCTATTTAAAGAATAGTGGGGTGCAAACAATTGCTCAAACGTAAACCATGCAAGCCATGCTTGCATTTAACTCTGAACTAAAAGGGGAACTCTTTACTGCTAGTTTTCCTGTCTCTTAGTTTTTGTGTGGGTTTTCCTGAAGTCTTCCCTGACCAAAGCCACATACTCTGTTGACATTTAATAAAAGTATTGAGCATGTCATAAGAAATATCTAGAAGAATATATATACCTTAAGAATTATCTTTGATTTCATGGAAGACAGATAATGGAAGAGAACAGGGTGGAAACTAGTTTGTGTTGTAGAAGCTGGTGACTGTTCTGATTGGTTGTTAAGTAATTTGAATATCACCACAGAATATGAATGAGTATGTAGCCTGCATTACAGAGGAAAATAAAATCCTTTAAGCATATAATTAGTCTTCATCAATACCAACTATCAATGTCTTCAGAAAGAATTGTGGATACTCCACCTGGTGTCTAGCGGATTATCAGAGGATCCCTGAATGATTTCCAAAGTTCTCATGCACCAGCTAAAATTGTACACAAATTTTTATGTATGCTTTGCCATTTACTGTTCCCACTTACTGAAAAACCAAGTCTTTAAGAAGATTTTAGACATTTTTTTGAAACAGAAGAAAATCCAGTGTCTCTTACGAATAAGAAAATTGGCCAGGAGTTTCAGAGGAAATCTCTGTGAGAGAAAATGGGGGAAAAGTCACAAAGACAAAAAGACTCATTAGACCAAGATGCAAGTCTGACCCTGAGAGAAGAGAGGAAAGAAAGTAACCCCGAGCCATCGTGTGGCAGAGATAACCAAGGTGTACTTCCTCCTGTGAGACAGGGAACTATGCTGATGACTAACTCGTTCAGGAACTCTCCTAAAACCTTCCACAGACCACAGACGAGTTTCCACCCTGTTTTTTCCATCCTTCTTAGGGGACAAGTGCACCAACATGGTGAAACCCCATCTCTACTAAAAAAAAAAAATACAAAACTTAGCTGGGTACAGTGGCAGTCACCTGTAGTCCCAGCTACTCGGGAGGCTGAGGCAAGAGAATACCTTGAACCCAGGAAGCAGAGGTTGTAGTGAGCCAAGATTGCACCACTGCACTCCAGCCTGGGTGCCAGAGCTAGACTTCACCTCAAAAAAAAAAAAAAGAATATGATGAAACACAAGCTATTAACTGTACAATCCCAGTAAATTTTTTAAAGTGAATCAGACAGGCAGGCAGGAAAGAGCATGACCAATAGATAAAACTGTATAAGAACACGGTCTTTGAGCTGAACCCGAGGTGGTCGTTTTTATCGCAGCTTCCCCATATCCGCGGATCCCTGCTTAAGCCTCCTGAGGAAGCCCGGGCCCGCTTCGTAGCTTTCTCCCTTTGTCTCATAACCATGTCCACCAACGAGAATGCACATACACCTGCTGCCCGTCTTCACAGATTCAAAAACAAGGGAAAAGACAGTACAGAAATGAGGCGTCACAGAATAGAAGTCAATGTGGAGCTGAGGAAAGCTAAGAAGGATGATCAGATGCTGAAGAGGAGAAATGTAAGCTCATTTCCTGATGATGCTACTTCTCCGCTGCAGGAAAACCGCAACAACCAGGGCACTGTAAATTGGTCTGTTGATGACATCGTCAAAGGCTTAAATAGCAACAATGTGGAAAATCAGCTCCAAGCTACTCAAGCTGCCAGGAAACTACTTTCTAGAGAAAAACAGCCCCCCATAGACAACATAATCTGGGCTGGTTTGATTCCAAAATTTGTGTCCTTCTTGGGCAGAACTGATTGTAGTCCCATTCAGTTTGAATCTGCTTGGGCACTCACTAACATTGCTTCTGGGACATCAGAACAAACCAAGGCTGTGGTAGATGGAGGTGCCATCCCAGCATTCATTTCTCTGTTGGCATCTCCCCATGCTCACATCAGTGAACAAGCTGTATGGGCTCTAGGAAACATTGCAGGTGATGGCTCAGTGTTCCGAGACTTGGTTATTAAGTATGGTGCAATTGACCCACTCTTGGCTCTTCTTGCAGTTCCTGATATGTCATCTTTGGCATGTGGTTACTTACGTAATCTTACCTGGACACTTTCAAATCTTTGCCGCAACAAGAATCCTGCACCCCCGTTAGATGCTGTTAAGCAGATTCTTCCTACCTTAGTTCGGCTCCTGCATCATGATGATCCAGAAGTATTAGCAGATACCTGCTGGGCTATTTCCTACCTTACTGATGGTCCACATGAACGAATTGACATGGTCGTGAAAACAGGAGTTGTGCCCCAACTTGTGAAGCTTCTAGGAGCTTCTGAATTGCCAATTGTGACTCCTGCACTACGAGCCATAGGGAATATTGTGACTGGTACAGATGAACAGACTCAGGTTGTGATTGATGCAGGAGCGCTTGCCATCTTTCCCAGCCTGCTCACCAACCCCAAAACTAACATTCAGAAGGAAGCTACATGGACGATGTCAAACATCACGGCTGGCCGTCAGGACCAGATACAGCAAGTTGTGAATCACGGATTAGTCCCATTCCTTGTCAGTGTTCTTTCTAAGGCAGATTTTAAGACACAAAAGGAAGCTGTATGGGCTGTGACCAACTATACCAGTGGTGGAACAGTTGAACAGATTGTGTACCTTGTTCACTGTGGCGTAATAGAACCATTGATGAACCTCTTAACTGCAAAAGATACCAAGATTATTCTGGTTATCCTGGATGCCATTTCAAATATCTTTCAGGCTGCTGAGAAATTAGGTGAAACTGAGAATCTTAGTATAATGATTGAAGGATGTGGAGGCTTAGACAAAATTGAAGCTCTACAAAACCATGAAAATGAGTCTGTGTATAAGGCTTCATTAAACTTAATTGAGAAGTATCTCTCTGTAGAGGAAGAGGAAGATCAAAATGTTGTGCCAGAAACTACCTCTGAAGGATGGGACTACCTCCCAAGTTCAGGCTGGGACTCCTGGGACCTTTAACTTTTAGATCATGTAGCTGAGGTATCAATTTGTCGTGTACTATGTTTGGTATTTTGTCTTCCTGTTTCTCTACGAAGAACTCTTTCTAAATGTGGTTTATTATTGTAGCACTTTTTACACTGAAACTATACTTGAACAGTTCCAACTGTACATACTGTATGAAACTTGTCCTCTGGCTACATTTCTTATTTCTATGTGGAATTTCATATCTTGCAGCCTCCTGTAAATAAACATTAAAACCCACCCTTTACTTCAAAAAAAAAAAAAAAAAACTGTATAAGAAAACCTCAGCAATCACAACCTAGAAACATAATGTCTATGACTCACCATGACTACTTTGGTGAATCAT